TATGTCTCGTCTCGGGCGGTGTAGACTTACCCGCGGTGTGGGATTACCTACGGCATCCATACGCGCGCGGACCCTCGGCACTTACGCTCGAGCCGCCGATATTGAGTTACCACCGGCTCTCCGCTTAACGGCAAGTGAACAGACCGCCTGCATATAGGAAGCCATCCCGGGGACCGCTAGGACAGTCTGCGTCGCCTCGTCATCTGCAGAACCCCGGAGACCGATCTTCATCGGCGGGCCCCGGAAGTTGCGCGCGCCCTCCGATGCTCGCCGCGCAGGATCACTACTACCCACCCGCAGCCTCCAACGTCTACTGCCAAAAGCAACTGGAAGCTCTCTGTCAATCTCCTTACCCCCTCCCAGTTCCTCCGCCCCCTCGGACTCGTGTATTCCTCTTCTCGTCGACGCTCCTGTCGCGTGATAATTACGAGGTGAGTGCTGCATCCGCTTCTCATTCTCCCGAAAATCACAGTTTCGTTGTATGTAGCGTGACCGATGAGATCATCTCTCTTTAGGCGCGGGTGCGAGACGGCCGGTCTCGTTCACGCTATTATTGCGAGGTCAAAAGCGTTAAAATCGGTCGCCGAGGGATGGGCCAGGATGTCTGTCAGCCACGATTGAGCGAGTCCCTATCACCGCTGAGGAGCCAAGGGCGAACGCGGGAGCGCAGAGATACTGGCTTCGGTGCGTGCTGGGGTAGTCGTATGTTCGCCTAGCACCATTTGAAATCAGTACCGCTGGTCCCGTGTACTCGGCGCATGTCTCGGAGTCGGTGATCGAAGATGTCGAGAAGAAGATCGGCATCCATTTGGTTGTCCAATTGGTCATTGGTATGCTCTTGGTTTGCTTGGTTCGATAATGGCTTAGCCGGCTCGCGAGTGGGTCGGGGTCGTGGCGACGGAGTTGGGTTAGACTTGGAGTTACAAAAGTGCAGGGAAACTCGAGGCAGTTGAGGAAATGCGAGAATTGATTGGGCCAAGGGGCTTGGTAAGGTTCGAATGTATTACTTTATCCGATTTGGAAAGCCAAGACTCCAAACTGTTAGTGAAGTATCGATAGTGTAGCGAAGCGGAGCTGTAATAGAGAATCGAGCGAGTTCCGATAAATGCAGAGGTGCGTGTGTGCGTCTGTTGCGTGCGCGCGCGCGTTAGTTAGTTGGCCCCTATGCGCGTGCGCTATGAGAGATATTTTGGCGAGGATAAAATCAAATCCGTGATTTGTGATGTTATAGACCAATAATTTCGCTTCCTTGATGGTTTGATCGTTAAGGAAGTGCGTTACCGAGTAAATTCTTAATCCTCTTGAGAGACACAATTCACCATTGTGTATAGAATATTATTCGTTAGCAACAATAGTCTGATTCTTATGACAATTTAAATAAACTTTTCGTGCAAATAAGTGTCGTGGAGTCAATACAGAATCGAGAGATATAACTTTTGGATTATGGATAATGAAAATAATGAATATGAAAACTTTTGGTTCTCGTAATTATCGTGAGTGAGCAGCTTTTCTCGGCAATGCAATATTGGGACGCAGAATATAGTAGGCAGTGAAGACAAATAACTAGAGACTGCAATATTTGTATTTTTAGTGATACAGGAACGTTCGTTTTATTAAGACTCGCGTTTCTCATCTCCGTCAAACGGACAACGCATGATTACACTCCAGCAATGTATACAATACAATCCGTTAATTGCGATTCGTCGTTATAAACAAGCAATCGATTGATATCGACTAATTACAAATTACAATGCTTATCATCGCAAAAGATAAACGTAAATGTGTATAATAATATTGTGTTTTTTAAACCCTTGTACAAGTTTAATAACGCACGAACGCGTCACTTTAAGTTACATGTATAATATTGCGGCTTGCGAGGAATAAAGGCGATAAAATTTATGAAATGAACAGAAAAAATTACACAATCTACATACGCTGATCGCACAAGTCCTTTCTACGTACTTGCCAATTAAAATAATAATAATAATAATAATAATAATAATAATAATAATAGTAATAGTAGTAGTAGTAGTAGTAGTAGTACTTGTAGTAATAGTAGTAGTAATAGTAGTAGTAGTAGTAGTAGTAGTAGTAGTAGTAGTAGTAGCAGCATTAATAGTAGTAGTAGCATTAATAGTAGTAGTAGTAGTCGTAGTAATAGTAGTAGCAGTAGCAGTGGTAGTACTAAGTAGCAGTAGTAGTTGTAGTAGCAATAGTAGTTGTAGTAGTAGTAGTGGCTGTATAGTAATTTTGTAGTGTAGTAGCAGTAGAAGTGAAAGTGGAAGTAGTAGTGTAGTAAAAGTATCTGTAGCAGTAATAATAATAGTAATACTATTACTATTATGATTATTATTGTTATTAATTGATAATTAATATTTTAGGATTAGTAGCTAATAATTATAGCGATAATTATGTCAATAATAATAATAATAATAATAATAATAATAATAATAATAATAATAATAATAATAGTAATAGTGATAATTGTAGAAGTAGCAGTAGTAGTAATAATAATAATAATAATAATAATCAAAGTAATAGTAATAAAATTAATTAATGATAACAGATCGAATAAATAAACTAAGTATACGCAAATCGTATCTACTTCGGTGGTGCGTCGAAAAATATCTATTTACAAGCGTCGTGAGAACTCGCGGAGGGGACCCCTCGGGGTCGCGCTCGTTATCGTCACCATAGTCGCCGTCGTCCCGACGACGGCCTTCGCAGCCGCATCGGCGCCTCGGCCAGGAGATGCCAGGTTCTGCCAGGGCAAAATCGCCGAGCCGTATGCGGAAGTTATGTCGTGGAGTCCTTGCTTCGACTGGTCGCCTGCAACCTCGTCCAAGTCTCGCCGAGGGCCTTCGCGAAGTGGTCGTCCACTGCATCAGGATAAGGCAGAAAGCAAAATGCGTGAGCGCATCGTCAGTTAGCGCCCAGCTAGCGGGGTAAGACGAACCGGGGAATGGGAATCTTGCGACGGGATTCGGGTGACGCGCCCGGGCTTTCGAATTTTCGTCCTTATCGGGTTTCTCGCGCCCGCCCCGACTCACGAACAATAGATTTTAATTTCCGCCTGTCTGTGTGCGCGCCCACGAGGACGCACGTGATTGATGCTGCTGGTACTCTCATTAATAGGATCGGCGTAAAATGAGATCGAACGGGTGTACGGTGTTACCGTTCATTAATGGCTGGGGCGCACCGAGTCCACGACGTAATAGTTGGTCGACATCTCCGACGGCTATGTATTACCATTTATTTCAAAATTTTGGAGAGTATTCGAAAGGGAACTCGATTTTCCTTTGTTTACAAATTTTTGGGACAATTTTCCACTTGCCATCTGCTCTCCGGATGTCTTGGACAAACGATCCGTCCGTTCGATTGGGACGCGTAGGCGTACCACCCTCGTCTTTAGTAAAATTACGATTTTTCGACAATCGGTAATGTCTCCTGAATTTAATTGCGTATGTAATAAATCTAAACGCGAACACCTATGGGGGATAGATACATTGGCAGTTACGTTGCGATCCAACGGGTAAACACGGGTAAATACGGGATTGATAGATGATGAGGGGAACAGAGCAAAATCATCCACTCGCGACGAGACTTTTTCGGCATTTCCCAGGCTTCGAAGAGGCGAGTGCGCCCGGCCGGGGACGCAGGTGTCCAAAAACCGTTAGTGGAGAAAGTGTGAGTGAGGGGGAGGTGGAGATTAGGGATGGAGGGAGATAGAAGCGAAGGATTAAGGGAAAGCTTGCGGCGAGAGAGAAGCTTTCTCTCACTCGAGCAGCTCGAGGGTTTCGTAGATCCGGGACTCACCGCTGAGGCCGGTCTCCTTGTCGGTGCTCGCCGCATTGAACACCGCCGCATAGTCCTTGAGGCCGAGGGACCGCTTGAAGTGCTCGTCGATCGCGGGATCACTCGCCACCCCGGCGGTTCTTACCCCCGTGCGCTGTCCCCGGGTCGCTGCCGAGGGTGTGACGCTGGCCGTCGGTGTCACGGCCGTGTCCTCCGTCGTTGCACCTGCGAACAACCATCAGCACGCCACTCGTGAGAGACGAGCTCGAGGAGGAATCCTCTCGCCAGAGATCCCCTCGTTGCCCCAGGCTAGGGGATCTAGGATGTGTTATAGAGTAGAGCGAGACTTACCAGTAAGGCATTCGCCGCTGCTCTCGGGCGAGTGTAGCCCTGGCTGGGGTGCTGCGGTCGTGGGGACGATGACGCTGGGCCGGCTGTGATGGTTGTGCACCCGGGCGGCCGACATGTCGAGAGCCTCGCTCTGGATGGGATCGCGCCTGCGTTCCTTGCGCCAGGCGCTGCTCGGCTTCCGGTGCAGGCCCGTCGGCTTTGGCCTCTCCTCTGCGGAATAACCAACACAGCGATTATCACCTGCTTCGCGGCTTGTTTTCGTCTGCTACGAAAGCGACGCGACGAGTGTGGGAAGGTTAACGCGTGGGATTAACGGCCTCGGCGCTCCTTCTGCTTTCGGGCGAACCTCGACTACTACGTGGGTGTTCGGCGAGGGAAACGCCTCGGCAACGCCTCGAATTTCGGGGCTTCGCGAGGTAATTGCAAGGAAAGGCCATTTTTCACTACTCATCATCTTATTGGCGCCCTAAGCGTTACGTACGAAGCCGTTAATGATGCTATCGACTGGTTCGGTGGTGTACTAAGAGAGGCGACATTTCCCTAATGCGTTTACTTTGCGTGGCCTTCAATTCAAACATTATCTTCGCGGCATTTTGTCGAATAATTAATACGACAAAGTGGAATAAGACGTTAAAGAGGTGTGAAGAGAAGCACCGGTAGCCTGACTGGATTAAGTACGATTTGTTGTGTTTTGGCCGCACCGCTTGATTGGATAATCGTGTGATTAGTCCAGCCAAAGGCAAACGGACATTGTTCGTGGATTTTGTTTTCATTTGAATTTTATTTTTACGTTTGCCATTTGTTTTCGGAAAATGAAATGAAAGTGGACAATACGTAGATTAAGCGTGTAGTGTAAATAAATATAAAGGAAGAGTGATTTGTTTTTAGTCCTGATAATGATTTACAATTATCTAGAATTTTTGCATGTAAAATAATTGAAAATAAATTGAAATATTATTAAAACATGTGATTCGTAGTCAATTGCATTTAATTGCTTGTAATGCTAACAATACGACAAAATATTTTCTACATGATATATATATATATATATATATATATATATATATATATATATAGTGCTAACAAAAAGACAAAATATTTTATATATTATATATATATATATATATATATATATATATATATATATATATATATAATGTCGAATAAAAAAAAAAGATAAATTAAATATTTCCTTAATTAATAGTGTAATATAATTTCTCTATTTAGTTTTGCAGTTGGTGGACGTGATTTGTGGTGATTGTACATAACAACGCTTATTTACCCCACAATGTATTATTATATTCTTATGCAATAAATTTTTAACGAATATGTATTGTCTGGGAGAATTATAAATTTTTATGACCGTTTCCATGGAGACACGATCTTTTATTATTGTTAAAATATAATATGACCTCCGTTAGACGGAGTAGGTAAAGTGTGTTGTAATGTTGTTTTTTATTTTTGGAATCAGATATTACAATGAAAAATATGAGAAATATTATATTGTTGATAGTTAGTTCATTCGTTACGACGAATGGTGTACGGATAATAGTAATAAACGCTAGTTTAACATGTTTCGGATAAAAATTTATTATATCGATATAAAATAAATAAATGGTGTGTGTGTGTGTGTGTGTGTGTGGGTGGGTGTGTGGGTGGGTGTGTGCACGCGGCTGTGTTGAGTGTTATTTATACTCTGAGTAAAATGCGGAATAAAATAAAAGAACAATTGCCCGCTGTTACTTTTGGCATGTCCTGCTCTCATAAATTTGTTGAAATTCTGTCGCTCCTAATAAGCTTGGGATACATGTGCGTGTACATTAGATGTTGATATGTGTTGTGCACGCTATGTCGCTTGCTTTCCTTTGTTTACAAATAAAATCATCAGAGACGGGCAGTGGCGAAGAAACGACGATAGCTTCATAAACTCCGCGAAACGAATGAATCGCATCTCCATCTCTATCTCCATCTCTATCGCGAGTTTAATACTGCGATGTGAACGATGCGAAAATCAACGAAATTATAAATATTGTTGTCTATTATATTCATCGGCGCCGTTATGTAAAAGTCCTTTAGTCGCGCTCGTCGGGTGAGCGATTATAAGCAGCCCGAGCCCGACAATCTTAGCATATATAACGAATTTTTTCCTCTCCTCTGTCATACAGCCGATCGAGCAAAAAGTTCGTTTCAATGTCGTTTCTTCTCGCCAGAAATTTCCACGATAAGCCAGCCACCGACGCCATGCATTCGCTTTTTATGCAGTTTTAAAATGAGAAAACTCAGCTTAGCTTTGTAACACGATGCTTACATGTGCATATCGACTGTCTCTATACTAGATTATTACTTTTTTCTCTCCCCAACCTCCAATCTTCGGATCGATATTTACGTGCGATAGATTAAGTTTCGTGTCGAGTAGCGGGAAGAAGAAAATTTGCCGCTCGCAATCTTCAAGCTTTATAGTATTTGAAATAAAATTTCGAAATCACGAGAGACTTTGTTGCGTCGATCGAGTGCAGACCGCAGATATCGAGATTTCGTTTCAAATTAACTCGTTGCCACTGAAGTGTGAAATAAAAGTTCGATTTAGCTTAGATTGCATGGTTTTATCCGGGCCTGATGATCAACTAAAATCCTTCGGTAGCGACATTACTCGCACCATGAAGTTGATAAAAATTATTCCGCGTACAATTGTATGTTATGTGGTGCGGCGTCCCTTTGTTTGCGAGTAAACTGCCCGCGACCAATCGCTGGGACATTCGAATTATTTGCATAAACTATAACTCTGCCCAGGATAAACGAAATTTTAGTCAGCAAATGATCGATAGATTATACTACTACTAAACACCGATACTCCCCTTTTTACAATTGAGCAAGTTGATATAATAATGCAACTGTAAAAGGTCTTGCATAGCCGTCACTGACGTAATTTAATTTTAGCTCTACCTACTTCCTCCATGTACTTGGATTATTCGAAAAAAAAAAAGAAAGAAAAAAAGAAAAGAAAAAAAAAGAAGAAAAAAGCCTCGCTTACGAATATAATAATTACACTGTACCGAGGAATAAATAATAAAAATGTATTTTCAAATCAACGATATAAAATACGATATAAAAGTATTTTATACCTAATCGATAAAGTAATTTTTAATTTCTGCCCACATTCCGCGTGATCAATTCGATAAAAACTGAGCGTACGATGCCCCCCGCC